ATATATCAAAATCCCTGGCCTTCAGGAGAAGATAAAGCCAAAAGAGCAAATAAAAAGTAAGGCCTGCATAAGTATCTGCATTACACAGCAGTATATTGTGAAAATTACACAGAAGAATCAATTAAGTGAAAGAGGAGAGAATTTACAACTTGCAGCAGTTGAGGATGATTACATAAAGGATCATTTGAACTGGGTCTGGAATCTTGAGTAAGATTTTGATAGAGAGCTCTGACTAGGAGCGTGCATCCCCACCAGCATAAGCTGGAGTGCAGAGATGAGAAAACATAAAGTGTGTTCAAGGAAGTACAAGTCGGCCAGCTTTATTAATTGGAGGAATTGTGATTTACAGTAATGGGAAAAGAAGTGGAAAGTGTAACTAGAGGATTATGAATGGTCTCAACCTACAGTCTAGGAGAGATATTGTAGAATGTTGAGACAGGAGACTAGTAGGGTAAGATTTATTCTGAGAGAATGTGTAGATATGGAAGATGCTATGAAGTAGGGAGGAGACTTGGTGCTGAAATACCAATAAGGAAACCATTATGGTTAACCAGGTAGGAGATAGTTAGGGCCTGAAGTAGGGCAGTGGCAATCCAATGAAATGGTTGGGGCAGATAATAGAGATTATGAAGTAAGAATTCACAAGATTCAGTGAACAGTTTGGATATAACTAAGGATTGGAATCAGTGTGACTAGAAAAATGGAGGCACCTTTAATAAAAATTGTTGAGTCAAGGGGAGAAGTTGATTTTTGTGAAGAAAGAATAGAGAATTCCCCATCTTTCAACAAATCTTTCCCACCTATGTAGCAGCAATTTTGATATAGTAACAAAGATAACAATACTCTGTGAATCCTTATCTGTTTCTTGCAAAGCCATCATAATTTCTTAGGGGTATTATTGTTTCTTGTCAATAATTCTTGTCAATTAGTATGAATCTAAATTGCCTTATGTACTAATTTGGGGAAGGAGCAATACAAGATGGAATTTTAAAAAAATATTCTTTAAGAATACCATGAGAAATAGCCAGAACTTAGTGGTCCATAAGAGTAGAATTTAACTTTAGATTTGGAGAAGCAATTCACTTATAAATGATACCTGTCAAAAACTGTAATAATAGGGGCGCCTGGGTGGCTCAGTTGGTTGGGCGACTGCCTTCAGCTCAGGTCATGATCCTGGAGTCCCGGGATCGAGTCCCGCATCGGGCTCCCTGCTCGGCAGGGAGTCTGCTTCTCCCTCTGACCCTCTTCCCTCTCGTGCTCTCTGTCTCTCATTCTCTCTCTCAAATAAATAAAATCTTAAAAAAAAAAAAAAAAATTAAAAAAAAAAACTGTAATAATAGAAAATGAAGTACACCCATATACTAGGAAATGTGAAGACATAAGTGATAGAATTTTTATTACAGAAACAAAACATATGAACATATGATAGCTCTAATTAAAACTGTTGTCCCTTCATTCTCTTAATTGCTATAGCTGACTTGTGTATGCTCCACTTCATCTGATTTGGTAATCTGCATTTTCTTGAGTAGGAAGTGAGAAATGAAAGCAAAAGAACTATTTATAATTAGTGAGGAGAAAGCTTTGGAGAAAAAAAAAAGATTTTAAAATATTAAATAAAGCTTTAAAAACAATTTTTTTTTTTTAATTTTAAGGAGTATAGGCAGTTGTGATCCGCCCCCCCCCCCGACTTCTGCATAGCATCAGACAGCAAAAAAGGTGCTGCCAAATTGCAGACTTCCACATGAAGGATTTTTTTTTTTTTTTTAAGATTTTATTTATTTATTTGACAGAGACAGTGAGAGAGGGAACACAAGCAGGGGGAGTGGGAGAAGGAGAAGCAGGCTTCCCGCGGAGAAGGGAGCCCGATGTGGGGCTCGATCCCAGGATCCCGGGATCATGACCTGAGCTGAAGGCAGACACTTAACGACTGAGCCACCCAGGCGCCCCCACATAAAGGATTTTGAAGCATCAGTTGACTGGTTAAAAACCCTGTTTTCATGTGTCATATTACTTTCACCATGAATAGTCTCCTTTAGTCTTGAATTTTGAAGTGTTGTTTTTATTTGTTCCATATAATTATTTGGTTGTATGTAGTTATTCAGCTGCCTTTAGAGTCATGGACTTGGAAGGAGTAAAGACTTTGTGGTCCAGTATTTCCCTAAGTATGCTTGACAACTGTAATCATAAAGAAAGGGCTCTGGGATCAATTTGGTCAGGAAATTGCTGGGTTAAATAAACACAGTCAAACAAGATTTTCATTTAGGTGGCGGAGGGGAGGGGTATAGAATCTCAGAGACTTTAATATGCTAATGTGACTCAACTAAGGAGAAACACAAGATAGAGCATTTCACAAACTTATTTGACCACAAAATCCTTTTTTCATGGAGTCTTTCTCGGAACCATTGTGCCATAGAACACATGTGGGGAAACTCAAATCCCTTAAATTTATGGATAAACAGAAAAGAGTTGGAATGGTTGTTTACTTAAAGAAATGGACTTGACCTAGGGGTTCCCATCATATTTAGTTTTGCTTCCTTTTGCCCCCAAATTCATAAAAGTCTTTGAAAACTATATGATATTCCAGATTAGACCCATAAAATACACAAAGGTGTTTTAAGAAATAAAACTAATGATTTAATTATTTTTAGTATATTTTGAATTGGCATATTGACTTTGATGAAAAGAGTTAGATCAAAAGAACCAATTAATATTTGTAACCAAGGTTACACTTTTGCAATCAGGAAACTTTTTTTTCCCACAAAAATCAACCATCTTTCAAATTAGAAAATCTGTTTCACAAACAATGAATCATGGAACACTACATCAAAAACTAATGATGTAATATATGGTGATTAATATAATAAAATTAAATTAAAAAAAGAAAAAGAAAATCTTTGTCCTTTCAAATTATGATAATGTGTATACCAACAAGCTTTGCCACTTTCCAAAAAAAAGAACTGAAGAAAATGACTTTATGATTTGCTGTCTGCTGTGTCAAACCCCATCTCTATATAAATACACATGTATCTTTTAAAAAACTTATTTATAGGGGCATCTGGGTGTCATCTGCCTTTTGCTCAGGTCATGATCCCGGGGTCCTGGGATTGAGCCCCGCATGGAGCTCCCTGCTCCATGAGGAGCCTGCTTCTCCTTCTCCCTTTGCCTGCTGCTCCCCCTGCTTGTGCTCGCTCTCTCTCTCTCTCTCTCTCTCTGTGGCAAATAAATAAAATCTTAAAAAAAAAACCTTATTTATATAGATGGCATTATGGTAAATAGGTTGTTCTTTGCCCTATATATTTTTACTCAATGGTATTACATGTTTATTTTTTCACATTAATACCTGTAGATCTTTCTAAAAATTATTTGTTTTTTTGTTGACGTATACTTGACCCATATTGTTACATTAGCTTCAGGTGCACAGCGTAGTGATTGGCCAAGTTTATACATTATGCTGTGTTCACCACAAGTGTAGCGCCCATCGTTCCCATACAGTGCTATTACACTTTCATTGACTATATTCCTTATGACTTTTCATCCTTGTGGTTTATTCTTTCCATAACTGGAAGTGTGTACCTCCCACTGCTTTTCATCCATTTTGCCCCGACCATCAGTTTGTTCTCTGTATTTATGGATCTATTTCTGCTTTGTTTGTTTTGTTTTTTAGATTCCACATATAAGTGAAATCATACAGTTTTGTCTTTCTCTGACTCATTTCACTTAGGATAATACTCTCTAGTTCCGTCCATGTCACAAATGGCAAGACATGTAGATCTTCCTTTAATGGCTCAATAATATTACATTATATAGCTGTACTGTAATTTGTGTAATCAGTTTTCCATTGATAGGGTAGTTGTAGTTTTTTTTTTTTAATTTTTTTATTGTTACGTTAATCCCCATACATTACATCATTAGTTTTAGATGTAGTGTTCCATGATTCATTGTTTGTGCATAACACCCAGTGCTCCATGCAGAACG